CTCCCAACCAAAAAGGGGTGAGAAAGGGCACCTAGCTGGGGGCCCTAGCCGATGTCCAGCCCCAGACCCCTCAGGTCCCGTCCTCCGGCTGCAGGAAGCCCCGCTTCGCCGCCTTCTGCAGCAGCTTCCAGGCGTCGGCGTCCAAAGTCCTCACAAGGCGTCGGCGTCCGCGTCGAAACCCATCGTGAATTCTAATATTTGGCTGGGGAATGAAGGGAACTGTGACCGAGGGAAAAGTCACCCAACAGCATATGATCACCCACGGTTAACTCCCAGTCGTTAACCTCCTATTCAGAACATCCCTTCATTTTACATCTTATCCTAATTCCAGCGAATAGACGAAGAGAGCTGCAATGAAGGATATGAATGGGTCTTTATTGTAATTCCTACCGCCAATGACAGCTAATTCTAGTCCTATTTCCTGCTCTTGGAGAAGAGAACTAGCTACAAATGAACCGCTATTACAGAAAGGTTCATCACTCACTAATTAGAATATCTTTATCCTTTTCATATTTCTTTATTATTAACTACTGTAATTCTATATGTGGATCCAATTAAAAAACAATCTACATTTGGATCCACTTACCTCACCAACCTGAAATAAGGGGGTCGGACGGCCCAATTTCAGAAGTGGGGAGCGGTGGGGAGAGGGTAGGGAGCTATTCCCCACATAAACCACAATTTAAGGTGAGGTCGTGTGAGGTCGAAAAAACAACACCCAGAACGCATGGGAGTCGTAGCAACTATTCCCTTTTGTTGGGAAGACTAGGTGGTCCCCTCCAAAACACGGAGTTTCTCAGGCTCTAAGGCTCCCAGTGATGTTTGGGCCCTGAAGATGCTTGTTTTCAAGGGCCCTGAGGGGATCTGAGGGGTGAGGGGTCATGAGCCTTATAGGGGGGGTAGATGATTTACGACAACACACATGCTGAGCCAAGGTGATTTTCCGCTTTTGCCGCTCAAAGCTTGCCAAGGGGTTTGGGGTTGGCAGCCTCAATGCCTGAGATCCTCAGACCTAAGACCATGCTAGCGATAGACACGTGAAAAGATTTTGTTGTGTCCACTCGAGTGAGTCCAAACGGGCCAGTCAGCCAGTGACGAGTTGCCCCTTTTGATTCTGAAGGGTTGGCTTGCCTGACAAGCCACTTGATTGTCTAGGGTTTGCTCTCGATGTGCTTTTGCTTGTTTCCCGCAGAAAAAAAAAACAACTGTTGGTACAAACACATGCTTGTGGTATGTGGGCAATTTCCTGTAGAACTAAACCTGTTGGTTAAAAAAGAACAAAACATGGGAATCGATAATCATTCCAGGGAGATTTCCAGGGGTCACCCCCCTCCCCCAATTCCATCTTTTAAGGAAATGGGGATCCCGAGTGAACGCAGCAGTCGGCCAACCGCTTCGGATGGCGAGCTGCCCAGTCGGCAGCGGCGGCTCTGGTAGTGCCACTCGCGGGGGCGGGGGCGGCGGGGGGGCGGAGATGTGCACGGGCGTGGCTTGCAAGCCAGGCGCCCCCTGGAGACGTTTTTTGGCCGGTGGGGTGGAGAAACGGTGCTGCGATAAGTAGGGAACAAGACCCCGAAAGAAAACAAAACAAAACATCCAACTGGGGGTTGACGTTGGAAGGGGAGCAAACATTTAGATTTTAACAGTTAAGTTGGACTTCAACCACTAAACCACAATAAGCAAAAATGCAAAATGTGGCCCAACAACAACCATGGATTTAAACCGTCCAACTGGTCGTTTCTTAAGGTACTCCTTGGTGGATTTCCTCAGTCCCTACGTAGCACCAGCAAGAAAAGCAGGGGGGAGTTGGATGGACACTCGGGGGGTATTTTGGAACCTCCTTCTTCTCAGGGGGTTTCGTTGTATAATCACCCAAACCACATTAGCAAATCATCGATCCAAATCACTTGAGGGTTGCAGAGTTTTCATGGAACAAACCGGGGGGGTCTGTGTTTTTGCTGGCCCGAAAAATAAAACAAACTCCCACAGGTCAGCCAAAAAAAAATCGGCACGTGTGACTGCGCTGGAACTAAATGGGTCTCCTCCACCCTGACACTTTGAAGGGAGGTCTTTGGGGTCTCTTCGACGAGAAGATGCTTCTTCACGCCAGTCCCCATTATTGCCACAAGCCGGAAGATGGAAGGCAACTGCCGACTTTGCTCGCAACATTTACGTATCGCTCATCTATGGCACTATGGGGATTGGTCAATCAATTTTCATGCGCTCTATGAGGACTGGTCAATTTGCATGCGCCTACACCAACTTCCCCACACGAACGGCCTAGGTGCATCTAGGGCGCAAAGGGCACTGAGGGCTGGAACACCTTGGCATCGTGCCGCATCTTCCCCGCCGGAAGCGACGAGGCGGCTTTCGCTTTTGGCTGCAGGGATGCCAGCGCCGCCTTGAGCGCCTGCACTGGAGGCCCCTTGGGCTCCGGCGACTTGGGCTTCTCCTTTGCCGCCTTCACCTCCGGCGCCTCCTTGGGCGGCTTCACCTCCGGCGGCGCCGGAGGCGGCGGCTTCGGCGCGGGCACCGGGACCGGAGCCGCCGGCTCCACGTTATCGGGCTTGGCAGCGCGGCACATCTCCTGAAGCTGGTCCTGGCACAGGGACATGCGTCAAGCGCTCATCCAGAGGAGAAGATGTGGCATCTGCAACCTCCAAGTAGCAGAAACACTCTCAAGTCAAAATGAGGTGGAGTGGCGGGGACCCCAGCAAGTTCCAGTTCTTCTTTGAAATCACCTCTTGCCTGTGACCAGTTCTACATTGGTCTGCCATGTGTTTGTTTCTGGTGCTGAGTTGGCTCCAAACCGCGGCCCTTTTGGAAAGTAAGACGCTGGGCGTTCAGGCAAAGGCCACCCAGCGAAACGAGGGACATGATTCCTCACGTCCTCGATTTCATTGACAAAGTATGACCTCCAGAACTGGGCAAGTGGCGCTATCTCAGCTTTAAGTTAATGAATCCAGTCTGGATGCAACGGAGAAGAACATGCGTTTGGTTCCAAGGCAGACTTCAGGACCTCTACCATCTCTGCCTTAGCACAGTCTGGCACTCTCGCCGAGTGACTGGGAACCCGCCAAGTGACTGGGCATTCCGGAAATCACAAAGGCTTCAATGGTCTCATCTCATGCCCGGGCAAACCGAGCTCCACTTGCGTAAGTCCCCCGGAATTATTTGTTTTACATTTGCAGTAGTGGTGGAAAACTAAAAAAAAAAACATGAGCAAATGGAGGGCACTGTCAAACGGGTCACTCAATGACTTGTCCGCCCACTTGCGGCCCAAAGCCTTGGTGCCCTTGGTGCATGGCTCCAAAACCGCTCCAGCTTCCAACAAACATCAGGATCCTTGCAAGTGTTTCGAACGGATACGAATCCAACCACCTTTTTCTTACCAGGGGACCGAATCCTTACGCACGATTTTCCCCAGCCGGCCCAATTTTTTTTCCTTCAGCGGGATCCAATCTCTTGCCCCAGCAAAGCCACCGAGCATCACCGAGCGCCACCGAGCGCCCGCCCGAAGCGAGCCGGCTCCTGATTCCGAATGTTCAGGATTTCGCCACAGGCGCTGCCGTTCACATGGTTCTGGCCTCAACCCGCGGCTGAAACCTCTGCCGTGTCCCGGAAATCTGGCAGCTTTTCTGAGGGTTTTACCATCACTGAAACATATACGCAAAATAGCTGAAAACCCTAATGTTGACCCAGGACTAATAAATCCGTCCAATTATTGGGGGGGGGGGGGTTCCTTCCAAAAGTGAATCCCCACTAAAAGGGGAGGCATAAACAAATTCCCTATCCCCTGGTTTCCATTTGGGTAAATCCGCGGTTTTAACTTGGTTGCAGTTGACCCCTCTGCAAAAAGTGTCACTGTGTGCGGGTCCAATTCGTAACATCCGACCTGTTTCCAACATAAAGCCTGAAGTCCAAAGACCCAACCAAATCAAGCTATAGCCTCCTTGCTTCTCTTCGAGCGTCAAATGCTCCACTTGGTGAAGGAATCGCCGCACACGGGGCAGGCGTAGGGCCGGCGCGCCGCGAAGCTCATCGCGATCGCGCTGGATCGATCGGCCAGCGATGGGCCAATTCAAGGGGCAGCCCGCGACGAAAGGCCCAAAATGTGCGAAGAAACAATTCGATTGAGAAAAAATCAAGCATGACAATCGCAGGTCCAAATGAGAAACAGGGGGCCACGGAAATTAGGACGCAAGGCCGTCGTCGCGGGTCCGGTCGGTTCATTCACTGGAGCCGACAAAAGGCGCGCATGGGAGTTGAGCATTGGCCACACCTCGCTTAGCACTGCTGTGGTATCAAATCCGTCCTGAATCAAAACGCTGCTCTAGTGCGCTCATACTCCGATTGAATATAATGGCATCAATGTCAGCAGTGCCCAAAAATAAACCGCGTTGGCCGTCTTGTAGTAGGTGGCTATCTCTGATTCCTATAGACCTTTAACTTTATAAGCGGCACTGAGTCGATCACATAGGCGCCTACACAGCACAACACACACACACACAACACAACACAACACAACACAACACACAACCACACATGCAACCCGCTCCAGCATCTCCACTAAAACTCCAAAACAGAACCATAAAGCATCCCAGTTTAGCCAGCAAAAGGGTATGACTTCTTCACGGGGTTTGAGTGGACGGGTGTCTAGAAAACGGTTTGGATGCGAGGTTTGGTTTTCGGCTCTTCTTCCCCCTGTTGGTTCTTGTTTTTGTAGTCGTTTAGTACTTGTTTTGATACTTTGCGGGGATCCACAATACTCACATCCAAACCGTTTTCTAGACTAGGTCCCCCAGTAGTGCCCTTTTACCCTTTTTGGGGGGAGGGTTCCCCTACTCAAATGGACTACAGAGAAATGGGTGCCCTTCTTCTAACCTCTCTGCTGGAGGACCTAGTAGAGAGTGGAAAAAAAGGGTACCCTTCTTCTAACCTCTCTTCTAGACAACCTAGTAGAGGGTGGAATCCGGGCATGCCAATTCCCGAAATGCTGCCTGCGGCCGCTTTGGCCGCAGCCAGCTTCTCCTCCCGAAGCATCGTCGCCTGCGAGGGAAAGCAGATGGCACCATTCCCCCCCCCGTTGTGGGGTAATGTTAACCGCGGATTAATAAACTGCTTGTGGATTAATAGGCGGTGTCCCGTTTTAGTGGGCATTTCGGACCACTTTGGTTTATTAATCCTGGGCCAACATTAGTTAGTACCCACATAAAGGCACATATGACATCTACTTTCGCTCAAGACTGGGGGTCCCCACTTCCGTTCATACGGGGATGTTATCTCCCAGGCCAGCCTGGGCTTTGGACACAGCCCGGCCTGCCGAAGGGCAAACCCTCTGATTCACTGAGGCTCCAGTTTTCGGGGTTGCCCATCCATCCGCAGTGATTTACCCTGGGTTCAGGTGATTGCCGCCCATCCTTCTTGCGAGTAACCAGTTCCACGTTGCTGCTGAGGCAGGGGAGGGGAGGGAGCCCAAATCTTCCCCCCCTTGCTCGTCCCCCAGCCCCGTCAGGGATACAACAAGCCGGCAAAGGAAAAGGAAAAGCAGGAAGCGTGGGTGACTGCAGGGATCTGCCTCTAATGAACATAAGCGAAAACCACGGGACAAACTTGGGTGTGCAACAGGGGGCCTGAAAACCACGAATGCATATGAATGAATCGCAAATCAATTGGTGTTATTGTTGACCTCGGATTGATCACTCTGGCAGATTCAGTGTGTTGACACCTTCCCCTATCAACCAAGCGGCCTATCAACTCCCGAATCTGACTTTACAATTCAAATGCTCCCTTCTAGTCGTAAACAAGAAGTTCTGGCCACTCCACTCCTTCGGAGTGAGTTTGGACCTGCCCCCCGCCCCCCCCTCCCCCCAAATGACTTATCCATCCCTTACACCCCCCCCCCTCCTCCCCGAACCCTCAACCCCCCCCCCACCCCCCCCCCCCCCCAACAAACCCTGAACACCCCCCCCCCATCCCCCCGAACCCCGGCCGCCCGCCCAGCTGGAGTGACCCGCACCCGGCCTTCAAGGACTGGAGCCGTCGCTTCAAGCCCGCGGCCGCGTAGGAGCTGCCGCCGCCCCCCAAGATCTGCGCCTCCAGGCTGGCGATCTCCTCCTCGCGGGACTGCGGCACCGCCTTCTTCGCCAGCGCCTTCCTCGGCGAGCGCCGGGTGAGTTCCAGGCGGGCCTTTGCCCACCCCAAGGGTCAAGTTGGGCTTCTCAGCCTGAAGGGGGGCAGAAAAAGTGGCCGAAGATCCCAGACAAAAATTCTGGGGGTAGTGGGTTGGGGTAGTGAAAACCATCTTAGTTCGGAAGGTATGAAGGCCGATCTAGACTTCTAAGGTATTGTCTAAGGATTATCTTCCATTTGCGTTGTTGCCCCTCTGAAAAATAACAATATGTCCGGTAGTGATAGTTTTCCTTTGAAACCAAGGGAACATAAGAGCTATTCTTGAGCAAATGGAAGTTTGCCATGAATCCAGGTACCCTTCCTCCCACGAACTTCATGGCACCTAGCAGTGGGTCCCCAGAAGAGAACATCATATTCCAGGTACCTCCCCACAAATGCTGTGTTAGCAAGAGGATAGATGGTTGCCCCGGGGAAAACTATTCGCATGACAATTCCAAAACTGAAGTACGGAATCCGATCCAAAAGCTCCTTCTTTTCCCCCAGAGCAAGAGGCTCATTGCCTCGTAAGCCTCCACATAGGGGCTTGATGGGGCTTGTCTTTTTGTTGTCTTCGTATCGGAACGCAAAGAGGCTCAACTCCAAACGCTGGCTTGGAAGTGCTTGAGGCGTGCTACGCTTGGCTTCCCCAAGGCGGGAAGTGGGATTCGAATCCACAAGTTTTGAGGGCGGATCCTAGAAAATCTTGGTTGATTCTAATACAGGTGGGGACCCTGGTGTCCCCTAGTGGGTTCACACCACTTAAAAAAAAAAAAAAAAAAAAAAAAAAAAAAAAAAAACACCCCCTCTCACTTCCCGAATTTTCCGTTTTCCACTAACATGGTCTTCCCAAAAAGTGACAAAAGTCCAGAAAGTCAGGAAGCCATTTTTGGGGCGGGTTCTACTTTCAGCCATGATCTACCAAGGGCCTTCATCTGAGTGGCTGTAGCGCCTCCTGCCGTGCCTGCTCCATGGCTTCTCTTCTGGCACGGATGACCTCGCTAAAGCAACGGGCTGCTACCCTCCCACGCAACTGGAACCGGCTGGTGCCTGACTGGCGACCTCTCGGTGGGGTCCATGCTTGTTGATGGTGACGCTGGCTTTCTCTCAGGGAATGTGGGACAGCCCCACCCCATCTACGCTTTACGAGTATCCGTTTATGGTTGGATGGAAATCATTCTCGCAAGGGCACTAAGTTTCAACTAGAGGGGGAATGGGGAACAATTCTGCTGAGCATACTGGGCTCCCTATGTGCACTATTCCTTGGGAGTGTTCGCAGTCAAAACCGGCTGGTCATTCTCATTGACCTACCAAGGGCCCAAGCTGACCAAGTAGAAAACACACGATTTCGGCCCAGTCCAGAAGACCACGCGAACACAAGGAATCCTACGACTTAAACCCACCCCGCTGACAGTTGATCTTACATGTTTGTCCCGCGTAAAAGAGACCACTCCAAGAGACCAGGGCCCCTCCAAGAGACCACACTAACCCAAGAATCCCACGAATCAGAGTTGGTTGCCCTGGATAACTAGTAGGGAGATCGTCTGCGTCAGGGGATTCTTCGGTCCTATTCGGGGCAATTGCTGGACTTGCTTGCCAAAGCAACCCACTCTGAATTGACAAATCCAGCAATCCCACAAATGAAACCCACCCCACTCGCAGTTGACATGCCTGGAGACCCGGCCCACTCCAAGAGACACACAATTTCAAGGAATCCCACGAACCCCCACCTCAAATGCCCGGTGGCCACGGAAAAAAAGGGGCCTCCTTTTTTGGTTTGAGTTTAAAGGAATCGGAACCCTTCCCAAAAAAACAGTCGAAAAAGGGTGCCACTGGGCAACTGGGCCACAAACACTTGACCAGTCAACCCAAGTCCACAAATTTCGCGCCTCCGAATGGCTTGCAGGCGGTCTCGACGCCGGGGACGCGCTGCGTGCATTGCCTGGGAGTCCGGAAAGGTGATCCTGGACTCGTCCAAGAAAAGAACATGGCACCCCTGACAAATTCTCAAACACACCCAAACCCCATGCCGTACATGCGTTGGCCGATTTTTAGTGAGTCGATTTTGGTGAGTGTGTATGAGTGTGTTCTTCCCTGCCCTGCCCTGGTCGCTATTCTGCCGAAATGCGGCTCGTCGGGCTTTCCTCCGCCGGCTTGCGGCGCACGTCCCCGGTGCCGGCGCGGCGGAGGGGCGGCTGGTCGTTGCTGGGCGTGCTCCAAGAGGTGCCTGTGCCGGGTCTCCGACTCAACTCTTTTCGGACACTCTACGTGTGCACGGAGAGAGGTCGTGTGACCAAAGTAAGGCTAAAATGTATACATCTATACAGAGAACCCTGTTAGAAACATATATTGGGAAACACCCCCCCCAGTAATTTGGATAACCACTTCAAACGTTCACTGCAATGCACCCAAAAGAAAGAAGGGCCAAATAGGGTGAAAACACACATGTCTGCCCATCTCCATGCATCATGCTGTTCCTCGTGAGAAGGAGTAGAGGAAGCACACAGTTGGCAAAGCAGGTGGGAGAACCAAGATTCTTACACAAGCAAACATATGAGCAGAAATGTGGAGAATACTTTATCAAACAATTGTTGATTGCGTCGCTACCCGGCATTGCCTAAGCATGTTGGTGGACCGTGTGGACAAACAAATGGCACCAGAGCCAAACCCACAGCGTCCAAACAGGTGAACAAACATGTATTGCTTGCTTTTTTGCAAAGAAGGATATATATATATATATATATTATATATATATACACATATATGCATGTATACATTAATTTATATATATATATATGTATATATATACATATATATGCATAAGAAGGGGGGCGCACAATTTGGGGAACCACCGCTTTTTCCTGCGCCTGCGCCGTTCGGCGTCTCCGGACTCCGCAGCCTTCCCGGCAGCGGCGGGCGCGCCGAGGCCGGCGCAGGCGCCGGCGGCGCCGGCGGCGCCGGCTTTGGAGACTGGCGCGGTCTGCAAATTGTTCACCTGGACCCTCAAACTACCCATGAAATTCTTGGTTGACGTTGGAAGGGGAGAAATCTTAGCAGTTAAGTGGGGATCTCAACCACTAAACCACAATAAGCAAAAATGTAAAATGTTTCCCAACACAAGCATGAAAAAGGGATCTCACCCCCAATTTGGGGACAATAATCAATGCTTTTGGTAGCTTGAAGGTCCTGGCAACTCTGAGTTGTCCAACAATTCAGATAAGCCTGAAGATTAATTATGAAGAACAAGTGATTTTGCAAATGCAGAACACGTTTGCAGAACCCGCACAAGGGTGTGTTCCTCTTGTTTGCCCTTAAAAGCCACCAAAGCAAGGTACGAAGAAAAGAGACGACACCCAAATTGGAAAGCATTTTGGGTCAGGTCGATCCGCCTGGGCAACTGATACAGAGCTCCGATCCCCGCACACGCCTGGGCACTCGGCTTTGCGTTGCCCAGCAGCTTCAACCTGGCTGTGACCGAGGGGCAGGCACTCTTTACAATATTATTTCCAAAACCTGAAATAAGAATTGGACCGCAAAGGAAAGGATCTTTACCATGGTGAGCTTTTTTTAATTGCGGGTGAGCTCGCCATAACTTGCGCAGAGTCTTTCAATGAATCTTTGTTCTCCCCAGAAAAGGTTCCAACAAATTCCGGGGTCCAATGTTGGGGGATACCACCTATCCGTTGGGTGCACGTTTTTGTTGCAACATCACAGTGACAGGTCCGGGTAATGTTAACCCAGCATTAGGAAATATTTATCAATATGGGGGGGGGGCTCCAGTTTTAGTGGAAGTTCATCACATTTGGAGAGAAATAATCCCATATCAATAAACAGAGAGGTTATAAATCCGGGGGTAACATTAAACAACAAAGATAGGCGACTTTTGGAAAAAAATGGCCCAGGCAATAGGCAAACTTTGGATTCCGGGATGCTTCTCTGGGTGTATTTTAGGTTTGTATCTCATGGTGTACTTTTTATGTTTTTAATTGTTCGGACATTCATAGAACTTTGGCTGCTTACCCATCATGAATCTAAACTAGTGCCATCTGGTCCAAGGACCGAGGCAAGCGCCTGCATCGCCTCGGAAAAGGCAAGCAACGAATCAAACAAAATCCATGCCGCCCCCCCAAAATGCGCAAACTTACGTGTTGGTTGTGCTTTTCTTGTTTCATCAAGAGAGTGCTTGGAATAATTTCCGTGAAACATGCGTAAATTTGAATGTGTTTTTTCTTGTTTCATCAAGAGAGTGCCTGGATCCTCCTTGTGGAAGTGAACACCAGAAATCACCTTCGAATTGCTGAATGGACCCTAACTTTTTAAGATAGCGGTCACAGCCAAGACGACATGCGCAAACGACGTGGAAGGAACAGCAAGTCTGTACCTGTGCAACCACGCTCCTGAAGCGTCTCTCCCAGGTTTTCTCTGGGGTTTCCTTTTCCACAGATATGAAGCCTCCCTTGAAGAGGGGTTTCTACACTTCCAGGAGGCTTCGCATTTATTCCAAATAGTTGAAATGACAAGCATTGTGGTTTTCTGCGTGTGTCTTAGTTTGAAGGTACCCCTTGTTTGTGGCCCGGGTTGGACGTAAACGCGCGCATGCTTGTCTTCTGGCCAGCGGTTTGTGTTGTTTTTTCCCGGTGATGCGTTTCACGCAGGGCGCGTCATCTCGTGGCTGTTCCCCCTTGAATTGCGATTCGCAGATGCCTCCACGTCTTGCTCAGGTCGGATGTTGCGGTTGCTGTACATGCTTCAATGCAACAGCAAACAACACTCAGCAGTGCCATTTGCAGAGATGCCCTGATGATTGGCGGCAGGAAAACACGCAGTTGTGCACGAGTTGCGCGATTAGGCTTTTGAGTGGAAACATGGCTGAAGCCTTGCGAGGTCTGACTGGCATGGCTGCATTAAGCCTTGGCCTCATGTGGCAGATGCCTTCTCATGCAGTTGCCGGCGTGCCTCAGGCGACAATACATGCTGCTCAACGACTGGGAAGGGGCATGGGCATGAGCAAAGAGCTCTTAGGGACATCGTTGGACGTTCTGGAAGTTCGTGTGGCAAGTTTGCTCGCATTCCTGACTGCTTGCCCATGCTGGCCCACTGACCCCCAAGAGTTTCTTTCCTGCAGGTGATGCGCTTTGGTCATTGCTGTTGTTTTCCTGCAAAGGCACAGCTCGCGCTGGACTCGCCTGATTTGCGAGTGCTTGCAGAGGTATGTGTGAGCTTGAGCCCACCTCGTTGCAGCCGAGGATCCCGTTCCACATTGCAGCGAAGTCCCAAAGCTTGTCGCGTGAGCTTGACTTGTGGCATGGGCCAAGCTGCACTTGGATCGGCATTCTTTGTCCGGCTCCTAGTGTTGCGGGCCTTGCGGAACCAGCCGGACAAGAAGAGTTGCGGCTCAGTTCCTCGACTTAGAGAGCGACTGCGATGGGTTTGCTGGAGCACCGAGCCGAAGAGAAACGATCATGTTGCATGTGCTGCACCTGCGAGTGGAGTGTGGCAAAACTTCCGAATTAAACAACACATTGCATAAACAGGGAAACCACGAAATAGACCACTACGACTTCATATTGCCGTGCTTCGTGGAGCATATACAACCCTGCCGACTTCCAGGCGCGCGTTTACGTACAGTGGCCCGGGTTTGAAAGGGAAAAACGTTGCTCCAGACTGATGGCTCTCCTGCAAATGCCAACAAAGCATGGCTTCAACCTTGCCGGGATCCCCTTTAAAAAAAGAGACACCCGAGTGACTAGATCCTCCAGTAGAAAGGTTAGAAAAAGGGTACTGTTTTTTTGTCTTCTCTTCTTTCATGTGTTTTTTCGGTAGTCTATTTTCGTAGGGGGGCCCCTCCCCCAAAACAGGGTAAAAGTTGGCACCTAGCTGGGGGTCCTATGTGAGCACGCTTGCCAACAAAACTCCGGCGGCCTCTCCCCCCAAAACTCCGCGCAAAGCGCCTCTCGGGGGACTCCTTCACCAGCTGCTCCAATTCATCCAGCGCCAGCACTGGGTGGTTCCAATCAATGCGCGCCTCCCCGAAGAGCCTTCGGGCGTGTCTTAAACTTAGCCAAGCCCCGATCTTGGCTTCGTCGTTTTCCCTTGGGATTCCCTGCAAGAAAACTCTTCAAGAGGGCACCCTAGAAAAGAAGGACAGGGCATATGTTGTTTTTGGCTTTCTGGCCTTGGGTGGTGAAAATGACCTGACCTGAAGACTTCCAGATTCTAATTAAGCCGCCCCTGCTGACCGGCCCGCACGCTGACATTGGCACCTTTAAACTTGAGAATCAGAATGGGGTTGTCGGGTGCTTTACCGTCGTGATTGTTGGAGCAAACTATGCGCAAGAACTTGAGACTCTAACCAAAGGCTCCTGGCTTCGGCTGTCAATGGAAGTCCCGACCCCTCCATTAGCCACCCCGGAGGTGTTGCGGGGTCTCAACACCTGGCTGTTTGAAGTTTGAGGGCCCTAAATACATTGGGAGCCTCTGGGTAACCAACAAAGCAGTTAACAGTTGAAGTGTGCAAAGTGGCCAGCTCAGGCTTGGTCTGTGACCCTGGCGTAAACTTGGAGAAGCAGGCGAGCTAGTGAGCAGCCAGCCGCTGCCAGAAATATCTTGCAGCTGCGAGCGCATCTACAGGTATTCATGTATATGCATATATCTAGGTATATATATATATGTATACTTGTCTACATATGTATAATGAGCATGTTGCATGTATGAACACAACACAGGTATATACACTCGTACACATATGTAAAACAAAAATACCATGACCAACATTTAAACCAGCTCAACTCCACGAGCAACACACAGTCCAAATGCATCTCAGGGGCCAGGGCACCACGAAGAGATTGATCAAGCGGAGGTCGTTCTTGCGCCAGTTTTGGCCCTCGCGGCCCTGCGACAGAAAAGTCCTGAAGAGCTCAATAGCTCCTCAGCCGGTGCGGGTGTGTTCCAATCGGCTAGGTGTCTAGTCGATTCGAGGCAACGCTCAGTTTCCCCCTACTTGGTGGTTTGGTGGACAAGGGGTGGTTTCCCAGGGGTTCCAATCCAAAAAGTCACCAATCCAAACCACCAATTGGGGGAAACCTGATTTATGGGGTGAGAGAAATAAGATTCTGGTCCCTCTCCCAATTCAGGGGGGCATCAGGAAGCCGAAGCTGTGGACACAACGAAAAACTGGCTAGGTATGACGCAGGGTGCGACAATCACAAGAGGTGGCCAGCGGCACGGCATTGTTGGCTTCAGCCGTTGAACAACAACTTGAGAAGAGACAAGCCAGCCTGTTCGTAAGCGTGGTCGGGTACCCATTTACAATGCGCGGGTCCGCTCGGGTCCGCTCGGGTCCTCCTCGGGTCCTCCTCGGGTCCTCATTTACAATGCGCGGGTCCGCTCGGGTCCTCCTCGGGTCCTCCTCGGGTCCTCATTTACAATGCGCGGGTCCGACACCCCGTTTGGGCTTTACAATGTTATTAGAAGAAGGGGAGGGAGGGAGGGAGTGGAAAAAGGCCAAGTCAAACATCGTCTGCAGATGGATTCCAACACGTGTTTTTAACATTGTAGTCCCAACGCTTGCTCAAACGGGGCGGTGGCCCTCAAGACAAACACAAAAGCTTTCTGAACAACAGCCGCGTCACGCGTAGTCCAAGTAAACATCGTGGCGCAGCTTGTGCTCTGTCCATAGGTTGTCGATCCACCAGCCTTTCACGCTGTAATCACTCCAAGGAACCCACCCCGACGTGGCCACCTCTAACGTGCCCTGCTTGTCTGCAAAGACATAGAAATGGCCACGGTTCAAGGCGTCCCGCACGCTGGGCCCGCGCGCCGTGCACGGGGACGCGTGCGGAGTCACACCCTGGAACAAAACAGACTGCAAGGAAGTCCAATCAACAGCTTGCTTGAACTCCATGAAAACGTGCATGTGCAAACGACCTGCCACCAGCGACCTGAGGGACTCTTCCATAGTGGCGGTCCAGCGCAAAAGAAAATTCAGCGTGCGCAGCCAAGCAATGAACTCAGGCCACACGACCCTCCGAAAGTCTGCAGAATTATATGTGAACAAGCATCCAGTTGCTCGTAGCCGGAAGGTCCGCCGCGCCTCCTCAACACCAGCCTCCTCCCCTTGGCTACGTGCATTCTCTGCGGCTCTGCCCGGGAGCGGTGGCACTACAATGTTCTGGTACCGGTTCACCGCCCTCTCCAGCTGCCGGCGCTGGTCGGGTGTGGCGCAGCTCTCCACGAGCCTTCCGGCTGCGCGCCGGAACTGCTCCGCAGTCATGTCCAAGCGCAAATTGTCATCTTGGACCCCAAGCTCTGACGCCAGAGCCCTCAACTCTCCACAAGCAGCGTGGTCAACCTCTTGCTGTCGGCCGCTGCCATGGCCACTGACAACGCTTCAGCAAAAGAGCAAAATGCTTGAGACGGCAGTCAAAAAATTCACAGCTTAGACCCCCCCCCCCGCCCTCCTCACGCGAGGAATGTCCCAAAAGGCGGTGTCAAACATCCAAGCAGGTGGCAACGCATGCCGACACCTGTTTGTGTGGCAACAGCAGGCACACCAATCCAGCCCTGACAATCTGAGTTGAACCGCTCACCACAGGATGACTGCGCTATGTCGTCATTGTGTGTGTGTGTGCGCCTACTATGTATCCACTTGGTCTCTCCGCCATTCCACTTGGCCCGGGTAACTCACAAAGGTCCACTCAATTATACTCAATTCATTCTACGGCAAACTGCAGGTAGCGAGGTTCACGTGTCTCTTCCAACAACCTATCCGGTGAATGCCAAGACAATCAACGCACGCGGGCTGAGAAAAGTGGTGGCGCCTTTCCATGACATCCAAAAAACCCTCTTTGAAACTCTTGCCTCCCGTGTCCCCTTGGCCAGTGACATGCGACCGGCCCGGCCAAGGGGGGAAAAATGAAAGCCACGCATCTCTCTAGGGGTACCTTCCATTTCCATTCTGTGCATGGATCCTTCTTTCCAAAAAATAACGATGGTTGAAAAGAATGGAATCGGAGTCAGCCCCAGAATTTCAACCCCTTTTGGGGCCAGAGCTTTCGAAAAATGCCCCGGTCTCAGGGCGCAGGCGTTTTGTTTGGAGCCAAGAATCCTTGGCACTTCTGCAAGCCAAATGGGGGCACCCCCACTTCCCAAAAGGACGTGTTAGCTACGAATCTCGATTAAACAAATAGTAATTAAAAAAAGAGCAAACAAAAACTTGGCCAGACTTAGACCCGCCAACAGGGCAGTTTGGGGGGCTAGGGAAATTTCGACGAAAAGGCGCCGGGACCCCCAAACTGCCCGTCGAAATTGAAAAACATCATGCCCAAATGTCTGGGTTGATGTCGACTTTTTTGGTCTGAGTGGCTTAGAAGCCAAGCCATGACCGAAGACGCGCGCGTCTCAATTGCTTGCCGAGGGGCGATCTTTGTCAGGATCCTGTGGCTCCACAGGCGCCTGCTGAAAAACGGAGTGAAAGATGACCTGGACCAAATCGATGGATGCCCCTGGTAGAGCCAAACTACAGTAGCCTAAACCCGTCTGACCTAAACCAATCTACACCATCTCACCTTGGTTTTATACAGCTCATTTCTAAACAGTGAAACCAATCCATGGTAAGTGGTTCTAAACCAGTGGAACCCATCTATTTCTAATCAAACTCAACGATTAAAAGGATTGCTGTGTGGTGACCTGATTTGCCGTTCACCCCCTCTATACCCGTGCAAGTGCAGGTCCCCCCCGCGACTAACAAGCAAACACCCCAAAAAGCGTGGGGCGGGGGGGGGGGTGGCGGGAATGAATTGTAAAGAGGAGCTAGCTAGAGAGAGTGCGCTGTTTGGGGTTGTTTGCTATGGTTTTCATGTTCTTCTCCAACTCCAAAGCCCTTTCCTCCAACAAACCAAAGCCAATCCAAACTGACAGTAACCTTTGATCCTCCCGTCGGCTGAACATCGGGACGTCGAAAAGGCAATAGCCCAGGTCAATGACAGCTCGGCCGAGCAAAATGAACCATTCACCTGCCGGTCGAGCTGCAGCTCATACTTACCACGGCTCAGATTCCACGAATTCACAACCAAAACGCCACGCCAACATTTCTATATCTCGCCCCCGGCCTCGCGGGCCTCCGCGCGCGCGGCGTTCGCCGGCGCCGGCACCGGTGCCGCCGGCTCCGGCGCCGGCGCCCGCGGCTCTGGCTTGGCCTCTGGCTCCTGGTATTGAGACCAATGACCTAAAAGCCACCTGGACCCCTCAAACTCCCTGGAAGTGGAAAACATCCCAGGAGTGGGGGCGAGAACCGGGTGAATATGGGAATCTTAGGGTGCAAGCCATGACTTTGGGTAGTTGGAGGGTCCAGGGACTTTGAGGGGGATCATTGATTTGTGGGGTTGGGCCGTGTTTTGTGGGGAACCATTTGGACAAGAAGGGTGCTTCCGAACAACTCTGACAGGGCACCACACCAACAAAAACGGCATTCGATATAAACATGGCCAAGAGGTGCAGCTTAAATGACACAAAAAAATGTGTCTGTGGGAAACCATGGAAACCCATGTTGTTTGTTTATGAAAGAAGGCCAAACGAAAAACCACCATTTTGGAGGTCCCCTGAAGAAGGACAAGCCAACATAGAGACCATTGGGGAAGGAGCCGCCGTGATTTCCAGAAGGACGTTGGCCATCCGGGGCTGTCTGCAGTACCAAAAAAGAGCTTGACAGCTACAAACAAACACGTGCCGCACTGAAACGTACACTGCCAAAAACCAGCGCCTATCAATCCCAGCGAGCTCCTTCTCTGAGTGGTATCTTGCGGGCAATCACAGCCCATCTTGACTGACAGAGGGGGAAGCCCCAAATATGCAGCTCCAACAAAACGAAAGGTCAGATCTTTCTGGGTTGTTCTTGGATGGCATCTTGTGGGCATCTTGCCAAAATGCGAGGGCAGGGTTGTCTCAGTTGCCCACAAAGCACTCAGAACCCAAAAGCTAACCTTTTGGGCCCACTAAACATGGACCAACCAAAAGGTAGAAAGCTCTCTTCTCTTTGGGCAACCGAGTAATGTAGCCTGAGGTTGGTGTTCTTTCCTGAGCTGAACCGAATTACCAAACTGTTCTACGAGTAAATTGGTGGCAGGGCCACCTGGAAACGCCATGGGCATGGTGGCCTTGGGGCAAATAAACCGCAAACAGTGCCGCAAACAAAGCCCTCGCTATCCAAGAACTCTGCAACATACCCCAACCATGACATGATGATATTTATTCTCGTTTGGAGTCCGGGGTGTGCTGAAAAGGACACTAAGATCTCAGCAAGCCAACCCCACTCGAAACCAGCAAACCACTCCCAACTGCCACCAAACAGCCCGAACATACAAAGTAAACCACAGAAACACACGCACCAAACAACAGAAGGGATCGGCCAAAATGGGAATCAAATGGCAGCAACAATGGCAGAAGGGATCGATCACACGCACCTTTGGCACCAAAAGCAAACACAAACACCGACTGAGTTGGAGCCCACGGAACTGGGGCCATGCCGCCGGACGTCAAGGGGGTTTTCCCAGCAAGGGACTTTCGAGGGTGCCACTGAACAGGTGGGTGTCTTTCAACTGGAACCCACCAACTAATTGCAAAGAGAGACTCAAAGGGTGACGTTGAACCAGCGAAGGATTCTTCGCCGAGTCCTGGCTTTCTTCCACCGCCGGTGGCCGTGCCAAGCGCATGCGCTGCTTGGCGGTACCCCACGCCTCTCGCGCGTCCTGCAGAAAAAAAGACTTCTCTCAAAGGCAGTACCGGCGGTACCCCTAAGGGAGATTCCGCTCAACACGTGTGCTTGGGCTTCCATGTTAGTCAGGGAAGACAAGTACCACAACAAAAAGGACCCATGCATGTAATACCGCATATGTCTAAACAAGTGCATATGTAGTGGCTGTATGTACTTATGTGTTCATGAATGCATGTATGTATGCAACGCATGCAACGAGATCTGCATGTGTATGCACACGTGTCCGTCATACATGTAGGTATGCAGGTATGCATGAAATGTATGTCTGTCTGCTTGTGTGTGCGCATGAGCTTATGAAATCTATGTATGAATTGTATAAAATCGGCCAAAACGTACCTGTTGCCCGCGACCGCCCGGAAGCGGGCCCCCGAGGCCTCCAAGAAGCGTGGCAGGCGCAGCAGAAACGCACTTCCGAGCCGCCCGGGCCCCACCCCAGCTCCATGCTCCATACCCCTTTTATGGAGTGCGGCGACGTTTCCCGGCTTATCATCAACTTGTCAAACCCTTAACCAGAAAAGCCAGCCTCGGATGCACCTCACAGCCAGCTCCAAGCAAACCTAAACCCTACACCTATACCCTAAAAGCCTAAACTTGAACTCTAAAATCCCTAGTCAGCAGTGCAACCTGTCAATAGTCTAAACCAAAAAAACTAAACCGAAACCCTAAAAACCCCTTAAAGCCGGATACATCTGCGCATGACACACCTGCCAGCACAATCATACAGCATAATAAGACCTTGTGGGCGACACGTTTGTTTTGTGGGTATAAAATGTATGTATGCATGCATGTATGTATGTGTGTCTGCATGTCTGCATGTCTGCATGTCTGCATGTCTGCATGTGTGCTTATGTATGTATATACGTATGTACGTACGTACGAATGTATGTATGCATGCATGTGCGTGTGTCTGTACAATGTGTGTGTGTGTCTGCATGCACATATACATGTCTGCATGTCTGCATGTATGCACGTACGCATCTATGTATGCAGCAATCAAGCACATTCCAATCAGAAATAAATCTACCAACAATAACCACCCCCCCCCCTCCGGGTGACATAGCGCTGATTCGGTGTTCCACTCGCCCTTCACAAATCGCGCCGAAGGATAGTTGCTTCACATGTGCCTTCAAAACCGCGATTCTAGAAATATCCCATGAAGGGGAACGAGGGAGCGTAAACCCATGGCAAAGCTGCTCTTCTTTTTGAGGGGGACATCAAATTCAACTCTTGGGGACCTGTCCAGACTTAAACAACAGTATATCCAAACCAGCGCGAAACCACTTCAAGCAACATGATAAAACAAAAACAACAAACAAGGCAACGCCACTGATTGCTCCACTGGTCAATGACAGCTGGGCTTGTCTCAAATGCGATACGGAACCCAAAGGCTTGCCCCTGGTTTCCCTTCCACGCTATCCACAAAAATACTGCCAACTCCAGGAAACGGGCAATCGCGGACACTCGGGACGCTCCAGCAAAATCTTCAATTGGGGGGGTTGGTCGGTTTGCCCGCCCTTTGCCCTTGGCTTCCAAACCAAATGGGCGTCGGTTCCCCTTTAATTGCCCCCCAAAAAAGGCACTGAGCAGCACAAAAAGACACCCACGCAAGTTGGCTCGTGGTCATGGCTCGCTTTATGTTGTTCCTTGGAATCCATGACCACGCCGCAACCTCATGTAATAGGGTAGCTTGATCCGTGTGCATGAAGGTGGCTCTAAAGTTGAGTAGAGGTGGGGATGTGTTTCGTCCACACACCAAGCTGGCAAACTTCCATTTTCTAGAAAACTCTAAGGAGAACGCCAGCTTATCAAGAAAGGCCAAAGAATCCACCCCTGGAAATGGCTGCCAAACCAATTAAACAAGCCATTGGAACAGAACCATGAGTCAGAAAGGGGACACGAGTCAAAATGTGTTTTTTGCTCCCTCCATCTACCCCTCCCCTCCATTTGCTTAAGCCGCCTGGACAAACTGAGAACATATTTCGAGCACTGACATCGTTTCCCTTTAAAACCAACAAGGGGAAACACACAAATATCAATTTCGGGAAACATCTTTTTGGCAACAAAACGCAAAACAGCATGTCAGCCGCTGGGAGCTCCGCATCCCGTGTAACACCCCGACCCTCATTTGGTCCAATCCGTCGAATCCGTCGAATCCGATCGCTCGCATCGCTCGCATCGCTCGATCGAATCGGCCTGGAGACGTTGGGCCACCGAGGGCTCCAGGAGCCGCACGTACTTCCGGTCCAGCGCCGCGCGCCGGGACCTCCGTTGGGCGCGTGTGGCGTCGAGGCGGGGCGTCGGCTTCGGTTTGCTTCGAGCCGGGGCCGGGGGCTCCGACCGGCGGCGGTTCCAATTTTGCAACCTGAGGTTCGGGAGGGTCCTGGTTTGGCCAATGTTCCTAAAGGGAAACTCTGTCCAGGTTCCAGGTAAATTGTTTTAACAAAGAAAAAAGGTAGTTGGCGGTTTGGAGCCGGAAAAAGGTGGTTTGATGGTTGGGTGGCCTCCCAAACCCCTCAGCCCCTAAACCCCCCTAGCAGCTGTTTTGAGGTACTAATTGGTGAAGGTGGCTGGGTGAATTTTGTTGCGGGTTTCGAAATCCCGTTTTGGGGGTTCCCGATTTAAAGACACACCCCGGTCTTGGATTCTTCACTCACTCTAATTTGTGGTTTGGAGCCGAATCGGAACCCTCCCCACTAAAAATGCAAAAACTTCTAAGGTTTGACAGAGTTGAGGTTTAAACGCCTCCTCCCACCTCCAAACGATTATAAGCTGGACACACAAGAAATGGCTGCTTCTTCCTGTGCTTGCAACATCCCGCCTACCATGAGGACCGCCATTTTTGTTTATCTACTTTTCCATGAAAGGGAAATGCAACGATAAATTGAATTCCAGGGGTCACCCCCCTCCCCCAATTCCACGTTTAAGGAGACGGGAATCTTGCAACATGGAAGGACTCAGTGTAGGCATTGGTAGGGGTTGATGCCTAAGGCCAATTGGTCAGAAAGTCGCAGGCACCTAGCCACGGTCATCCCAACTAAGCTTCATCCGGCTGTTGTGAGTTGGGACCCTTGGGCGTGCTGTCAAGGGAAAGGGGCGACGAATCCATCTGCGCATCGGTTGCTCAACTCAAATGCTTGGTTGCTGTTGACCCCCCTGCAAAAAGTTTAACTTTTTGGGGGTTTAGTGGAAAACACAATTATTTCCCAAAAAGTTAAAGTCTAAAGATCCGTTGCCCAATAGCAGTCAAGAATGGGGCGTGCGTTTGGGCGTTGGCTCCTCAACCATTGAAGGCTACCATAGCCTTGAGCCTCACTTCCGGAGTGAATTGGTCTACGTCCGGGAACTTGTGATTTACAAGCTTTACACATACCACGCCCACTGAACTTGTTAACTTTGTGGTGAAAGTGGTCAAAACACAAAGGGTGACTCAAGTCCGCAGCAAATGGAACTTGTGATTTACCACTAAAATGGTCCAACCCCAAAAGTGACTCAACCCGAAACGGAACTCAGGGAATGAGTTGGTTTTTCCGCACCGCGGCTGCAGTCCAGCGGCGTGTTGCTCTCCTTGCTCTGGTGCGCGGGCTTCGACGGGGGCCTGGGACAAGGAGACGCGCGCGAAACGGGGAGAGAAGCTCAAACCACGACCCCAGAACCACGCACAGCTACACACACCCACACGTGTGTATATATATATATATAATGTGTGTGTGTACATATGTTAATGCAAAGGCATGGTTGCATTTATCTACTGATTGATCCATACATGCATTAATATGCGCATAGCTTCCATTCAATGTCGACAATGTAAAATCATAGCATACGCTGCTATATATATATATATATATGCAGGGGTAGCAAGAAGTCACGGATTGTTTCTCAAGGCGCACCTAGCAATTGGCTCTGTCCTGGCGGTTTGCCGTTAACACTCGCCACCTAAACGCAGGTTCTCACCGTTTCGCGACAGCCGGGTTGAAGGACCTAAGGTTAGACTGCTGGCCACAGGAGAGTGCAAAGGAATGCGTTAAACCCGATGCTAATACTGCTCGGCCAAAAGGAAAACCACACTCGGAATTGTCCATACTTCGGGAACCGTCGAATGATGCCAGTTGATCTTCCGGGTTTGCCCACCAGAAATCGTGAAAACAGGGGCACCCTTTGGTTTGCCAGTTAATTCTGAAGGGAAACCCCCAAGAAAACAGAAACATGCCCAACCAACTGCGAGTGACATGAGCGCGCGCCCCCCCCCCCCGCCGAACATAATTATTTTCAGAATCCTTCCAACCAATCCTCTCAACTCCAAAAGATCTGAGCACCCTTCCAGGGAAATCCTGAGGTTCGACGAAGCCTTCTGGGTCCTTCATTGGGGTTGGGGGGGGGGGGGGGTAGGTGGGTCCGGGGTTCCGCGCTTCCCCCACTCCGCGGTGGGCTCTGGAGCCTCTTTCTGCTTCTGCCGCCGCTCACGCGCAATCTTGGTGACCTGAAAGTCCCCCGCAGGCTGCGAGGAGAACGCGCTCCTTTATGAGGGCTTCTGATCAAAATGCACCCCATGCTGTTCGGTTGCCCTCTTTGATTTTAGTTCGAGTTCCCCTTGCGTGGTGGCTTACAGGGGGACCCAAAGGAGAAAACCGGCATGGGCTCCAAGTCTAGCATGTCCCTAACCAGACCTCCGATTGGCAGCTCCTTAGCTCCCTAATTGGCAAATTTGAATACGTCAAGCTCCTTGGCGCGCCTCCCACCAACAGCAAGACAACCTAGGGCTGAGGAGAACGCATTTCAGGGTTTCTGGTCAAAATGAACCCCCGCGCGTTCGGTTGAAATTCGAAGGACACCAAAATGAAACCCGATTCGAAGGCTAGCCACAAGGGAGCTCGTTTTTCACATGTTGGAATTCAAAGGACACCAACATGAAACCCAATCAACAAGTGCCCCTGTCTGGAATTCACACCCATATTTCCACCTACATCACCCTGAGCCGAACACGATGTCGCACGCTGAAAAGGAAGTTATGTGTGCCCCTGACAACTCGCCAGGAAAGTGTGGCCTCAACAAATCACCCATTGATCTTTGGGCTTTTGCAGAGATGTCCATCAGCGCTGTTCTTTTGCTGCAAGCCGGATGTGGCGCAAGTCGTCCACGTCCACGCGAGCGACGCGACTCAGAAGCAAAATGGCGAGGTCGCCATGCCTTCGACGTGCCTTGCTTCGCACATTTGGGTGTGGCTCAAAATAAAAGAGCTAGGGAAACGCAGGTCTTGGTCTTTGGTTCCATTTGCCAAGCTGCCATTTTGGTACATGTTTCTGAGCCACAGCCATTTGGCACATCGAGGCGCTGAAAACTGGCTGAGATTGCGGCCCTTCAGCGCGCACCCAGCTTACGCCAGTGACTCCACTCAGAGCCCGCCGCACGCTTCTGGCCTGCGGGGAAGGGATGGCCAGCGACTGCGCCAAAGGGCTGTGGGTCAAAAATCGGTACCCAAAATCGAACCCTGGCAACTGGAAACATGGACTAAAACCTGTGGTCCCCTGGTTTCATTCTGACCCATACACAAATCAGCGAGCGAAGCAAGGCAAGCTTGCTCCAGGGGGCTTCGTTGGAAGCTTCACAGCTCAAGTTACAACGGGCCAGTGGGATTCATAGTCAAAGGGTCGCTGGGTTGGCTTGATGCAACACTTTGAGTAACAGTCTCTTGCAAAGTTCTGGGTTCTGCGCTGTGCCCAAAGCGCCAGCATGGCACGTGGGCTCTCCAAATGGGACGTTGACCCCGCAAAGAAAAGCAAAACTGCAGATATCTCCCTGTGGTTTCACTAAACCACCCCGAAAGCGTGCCCCACAAAAGGCACATAAGGGAACCTAGAGAAAACCGGGGTGGCTTCCCTTTGAAACACGCCCACAAAGGGCACCCTCCAAACAGCCCACAAAGGGCACCCTCCAAACAGGACACCCCCCACATCACGCGCATGGGACCCCGCGCAAGGGACACTCACCCTGCCGGCCTTCACTCATCCTGCAGCGGCAGGCATCGCCGTGCCACCGCCAAGGTGCATCGCAAGAACGCGGAGCAAAGCCTCCGCTGGTCAGAGGTCAGCTCGGGGCGCGTCTTTTTCGAGTGCGCCATGGTGAGGGGGGTCGTAGTCTTCGGGGATTTAGAACTTTGTACCTGGAGTCTCCCTGACCCTTTAAAAAATGGGGTCATTACCCAAAATATCGGGGTCATGGACCCATGTGTGATTCGGGTCATGGAGAGTCTCGCTCCCAAAGGACCGGGACCTTTGATCCCTAACCGTCTTTTTCAAGGGAACGTTGAGTGCGCGATGCTCATCCCACGCAGGCTAGAAGTTAGAGTGTGATGGTGAATGGGACAGGACTTGGTAGGCGTCTGAGTTTGGCGAAATCCATTCCGCACCATCTAAGAAAGCTTGGAATGATTCGATCCCCGCTGTAAATTCCAACAAACAATGGTTTCCCATCATGGCTTCGGTTTGTGGTGCGAAATGGAGTGCATCCGGATGGCTGCATCCTTTCCAAGGCAGACCAAGGTGAACATTCACCCCAAAGCGAAACGTATCATCACTGCTGCATGGTAGGGAGCCCTAGCAAATTATGCGCCTTCTTGGGGCGTCCCAAATCCATCCCAACAACCTTGAAGCGACCTTCAAAAAACGTCCCGGACACTTGAACGCTTGCTTGTCCAATGAAAATGCCTGGGCAGAAGACCCTGCAGGCGTACGGTCAAAACAGTTAAAGGGGTCCCTGAAAATTGCCCGGGAAACATTTGGGAGTTTTTGTGTGCTTTCCCCTTCTCAAATCGTTTCCAAAGGGCAAAAGAGTTGAGAGCCCACCGTACATGTTCTTCCCTGCCCGCAAAGGGAACGTGTCACGGAGCAAGAGAAGTCCTCAGAAAGCCGCGCGGCATGCCCATCTCCCTGAAAACTGATGGACCACCCAACTTCCTCATGGCATTGACTTTAGTCTAGAAGGTTGTCCGCTATCAGTTTTCGTCGGGGTCCACCAGGCCTCCTAAAGCTGGCGGCTTGGACCTTTTTTACTTCTGAAAGTCCCTCCTTGAGAGGAGAGACTGCATTGGACTTGTTCCGACCAGTCCACGGAAATTGGTGTGAATTTATAACGTGCTCCAAGTCTAAACGTTGGTATACACTTTCTTCAGGCGTGGGCAGACTACTTTGGGGTGCAACAGGTGAGTTGTTTTTTTGCCCAAAGGTTTTCGGTTTGGAGGTTAAAAGGGAGTATCAATTTTGGTTGGCCCCTACCGGTTCTATGTTTGTTTGTTTGTCTTTGGTTGACATGCTGATTTTGTTCACCCCAAGGGGCCCTCAGAAGACTACCAAGACCACCGCGGACTTTGACGCACAATGTTGACCCCGGATCCAACCAGAACGCGGGTGTCCCTCGAAAAGTGCTGCATCCTTCCCGGAAGGGGAACAGCTCCCCCTCTTTGATCAACCAGGGCTTCCATTTAGATCCGACGTTCGTCTTCCCATACAACTCAGCCCTTTGTCCCCTCGCGTCCAAGGTTCGGCCGAAGAAGCGAAGGAGGCCAAAAGCCGAAGAAGGTGTAGATCGCCTGTCGGCTTCTCGTGTTTGGTTCCGCGAGCTTCTCTTCGGAGGCCTCTGATCTGCCAAACAAAACTGAATGGATGGCTGTGGTACTCCCAAAGTGGGGTTCCCTCGGTTCTTCCTTTCTTAGGGGCTGCTGAATTTCCCCTTCAGTTTGTCCCATTTACCGGTGGTTTCCATTGACACTGCCACTTTGGGAGGTCAGAAACCCTCGCGGGGACAAAGATGAGGGGAGACCCGGGCCACTACTCCATCCCTTTGTGAAAGCCCACCTCCCGAACGCATCCCAATCCATCCCAATCCCTCAGCAATTGCTCAAACTTCATTAGTTCAACTTAGTGTACCTAGCAACTTCCAAGGGCTGACTTTCTTTTTCTGGCAGCCCCTCATGTTGACTTGCGTCTGGAGTCACAGCTTCGCCAAAGGAATTTGTGTCGCACATACTTCGAACCCACACTCTGTCTGTGGCCATGCGGTGATACTCCGTGCCTGTGCTCGAACATAGTCAGCTGTTTCTACTCGGCACCTTAACTACATCGCCGGGCGTGTACCAGGGCCTCCCCCCCCAATGGCTTCCGCCTGGCTGGTTTGGCGCCATGTTTGCCAGTCAGGGGGGGTGCCGGTAGTTGTAATTCGTCAATTAGGATCCTGGTCAAGTCAAATTGGAGCGGCATGCAGGACAAACTTGCCTTGGCGAGCGACTCTTGCAGATTTGGGGTATGAAGCGGAAACGTAAAGGACACATTTAGTTGAACTTGGCCTGGAGTTCAGCAGCCAGTTGTAGCTTAAATCTCGGAGGCGGGGTGGGTTCGCTCAGTGAAGGAGCGGCATGCCTCACACTTCGGGACATGGGGGCGTGCAGCCTCCCATCCATGGAACTCCAGGAGGACAAAATCCGACCTTTAAACAACCGCACAAGGACAAATCCCCAAGAAAAAAAAAAGACCAAAAAAACAGGGGATGGTTCCTGGGCTGTCCTCAGATCCCCCGCTAAAAAGTTTAACCTTCAATGGGCACAAAAAGAGAAACCTAACCACTAAACCAACTACCTAAGAAAAAAAAAGGAACCGGACAGCTGGGAACCGCCCACTTTGGTCACCGACCCCACCCAGCCACCCCCCCCTCCACCGCCCATTTCGCCCAGATCCCACCTCGGGGCTGTGGTACATGCCCATGGAGTCCACAGCCACCGCATCCAGCTGAGCCACCTGACACGGAGGCGGTTTTTGGGAGTCGGCCCTCCGTATTCTTCTCAAGTCTCTTCAAGAGTCCTCCATTTGCTTTAAGTCCCCGGGCAAAAACAAAGAAACATCCAGCAGTGAGAAATTATCTTTTGCACCAAATTTGCTCCAAGTCCCCTGAAGGAGGAAAAACAAAAAATGTGCTTTTTCCAGTAGTGATAGATTACACCAACAGGGGAAAATAGGCAATATTCTTAACCAAGTGGAAGTAGTCTATTCACCTTATGCACCTTTTGGTCCGTGATGATACGTGTTTGCCTTTAATGTTCACCTTGGGCTTAGGAAAGCTTAGCATCCACTTCGTGCCACCAAATGAAACCATGGTTGAAACCATGGCCTTTGTTCAGGTATTCGGGGGAATCGAATCATTCCGTTGAGTTTCTGAACAGTGGTGGGACATGGAATTCCATCCACGGTATCATTCATCTGAATCAACATTTCTCAAGTCCATTCAATCTCTCACTTCCTGATTGGATTTCCCAAAAAAGTCAACTTTATGTCAACTTGTTATTTACCACAAAGATGAGCCAACCCCAAAATCTAAGAACTTAAGGAGTGAGTGGCGGTTTCAAAGGGTAACCCCACCAGCAAAAAGAACGTTTGCTACTTTAAGGGGCCCAGGTTTCAACCCCTAACTAAAAAATAACAGCAGAGACCGCCC